TTATTAAAATTTAAATATTTCACTTGTTATTTATCTACTTATAGTTATTATATTTATTTATTCAATTACCATATCTGATAGATTTATATGCTAAATTAGACTTAATAAGATTTTAAAGTTATAGACCGTGGTTTCTCATATATTAAGGACTTTTTTCAATAAATTGTGAAAAAATTAGAATTAAGGACTAAATTTGATCAAAGTTTTTATCTGAATATTCCTTAATATATAAGAAACTACGGTATTTATTATTTATAAACCTTAATTAATTTTCATCTTGGACTAAGTAAAATATTTTAAGGATATTACTTTAAACTTTCAATAAGCAAGTAAAATACGAAATCAATGATTTAGTATTTAAATTATTGATTAATGTACATTCTTACTTCGTATTTTTAATTGATTATTAACTCAATAGTACTAAAATCTAATCATATGAATTTTATAATATAACACATTTTTGGAAAGCAGAATTAAATAAATTTTAATTTTCAGAACCATTTAAGCATATTAGTATATTTGAACTTATTTTAGTGGTTTAAATCACAGGTCACAATAATTTAAATATAAACAATTAAAACAAAAAAATCAAAATAACTAAAATTATGAATAAATTTGTTGCAGTTCTATTAATAACTTGCTTTGCTTTCGCTTAAGTCCATGCTCATTCCCAAGGACATAAATGTGCTCATAAAAGAATGAATGAAAAGTTAGACAAAGAAATTGTTGACTTGATTATTGATGAAAATGAAAGACATCTCTAAAATGCTAAACCTAGAAACTTCAAGATTACCTATGATATGGCTTACTTCAATAATTTACCAAATACTCCTGAAATGTAAATTTTCAGTAAAAACTGTGAAAAGGCTATAAAAATAGCTGCTAATTTCTTCAGCAATCTCATCACCATCGTTCCTAAACCTTAAGGTTCAATGAAATGGGATCTCAGATATGGTAAGTGTGGTGCAGCTACTATCCCTGCTGCTGATAAGACTACCGATAAAGATAGTGATCTCCATTTATATATCACTTTCACTGATGAACCTTAAGAAGATTATCTTGCTTACGCTGGATGGTGCAGATTCCTAAGAATTTTAGGTCCCACTCATGGTTAAGTAAACTTCAACTTGGGTATCTTAAAATCCTACAACTTTGCCAACTCTCTCTAATTCTAAGATTTAGTTGGAATCGTCATCCATGAAATGACTCACGTTCTCGGATTTTCAGGATCAGATATTGCTAACTGGGTTGATGCTAATAAGAAACCTTATGTTAATCCTACTGTTCAATAAACTGTTAGAGACATGAATACTACTTTCCTAAAAACACCAAATGTTCTTGAATTTGCAAAAAAATACTATGGATGTAGCACCATACCTGGTATGGCACTTGAAAACTAAGGTGATGAAGGTTCAGCTGGTTCTCACTGGGAAACTACTATTATTCAAGATGAAATAATGAATGCATAAGATTCCCCAACCATTTCTATTTTCACTGGTTTTACTGCCGCTTTGCTAAGAGATACTGGTTTCTATGCTTCTGTTAACTCAAATATGGAGGAAAAATCTTTCTATGGCAGAGATGCTGGTTGTTCATTCATTACCGGTTCTTGTGATGACAAAAAAAGAGAATTCTGTACTGTCGGATCTTTCGAATAAAAGTGTGATTATTACTATCATGGCGTAGGACAATGCAACTCATCTACATTCTTAGATGACGGCTGCGACACTTACTAAACTTTTAGTAATGCTAAATGTTTTGATGATTCAAACAACTTCTAGAATAATCCATTTTATAAAAGTGCAATGGGAGTTTCTCTTGGATCTAACTCTAAGTGCTTTAACAGCTCTCTTATTAGTGAAAGATATAAACCTATCAAGGAATAAGGTTTATGTTATACCTATAGTTGTACTGCTGCAAACTAGGTTATTGTTAGTGTTGGAGGAACTCAAGTTACCTGCTCTAATAATGGCTAATAATTGAAGGTTCCAGGTTACAGGGGTTTACTCACTTGTCCTGAAAAGCTTGATGAATTCTGTGCTTTCAAGAAGTTATGTCCTAGCAATTGTAGTTCAAATGGTTTTTGCAATAATGGAACTTGTATTTGCATGAATGGTTTCAGAGGAGCTGCTTGCGACTAAGTTGTTTGAAATTATAAATTATATGAAAAATTATTATATTATTAAGATTTAAATTAGTATTGCGTTATATAATTAAGTCAATCAATTAAAAAATATTTGTTCGTAGATATTAATGAATTAAATAAATAAATAAATAAGTAAAAATATTATTTTAGGTATTAAACATACATACATCTCAACGATATAATAGGAATAGTGAGTTCTATCCAGAGTTTTTAAGGACAAATTTTACAAATTTTATTCTGATCAATTATTAATTTAACACTAAAATTTTTGTTTATCATCACTTTTTTACTAACTAATTAATATATGTATACAATTATACTTTAATATTTCATGGGTAGTATTTTTAATTGTTTTTTTTTACATATAAATAAAAGTCTTTCTTCTAGTCACTTTTATATATTTTTTAAATGTGTCTATTATTTTTTTAAATTCATACAAACTTATCAAATTTTAAAAATTGAATTACATTAATAAAATATAAATTTTATAATTTTTCAGAAAACTTCTATGATTGATTGATGATTAATTATTGATTATGCCCATACAGTTAATTTTTTTTCTTACTTAATTTGATCAAATTAATCTGATAATTAATTTATTATGCTAGTATACTTTATTTAATTTATACAATTTTACAATTGGAATTTTAATTTAAAATAAATAAATTAATTATACGACACACTATCAACTATAAATTTAAACCATAACATATTTGTGCTACTATAAATGTAAATTTTTGAATATAAGATTTTTAAATATATTAAGTTTAAATATAAAAATCCCAAAATATACATACTTGCCACGTTATTTTATCAATAATTATCAAGTATGAAAATTTATTTTAAAATTTAAAATCTTTATTTTTAAAATGACAGAAAATAATAATTCATTAAAATAATGTAAAAATAAAAGCTTTAATAATAGAAGCTTATGTTTCTTAAATAAATAACACTTTTTATGAAATTTGTAAAAACATTTTAGCTATTGAAATCAAATATTTAAAAAATTTTAAACTTAATTATAGCTAAAAATAAGTTAGAAAATGCACAAAAGAATCCCTTATAAACAACATTAGTTATAAATAGTAAATTTATATAGTCGATTTGCAAGAGGTATATAAAGTAAATAGTTGTAAATTTTTTTACTAGTTTTTCTAATTTTATTAAAATAAAAAATCAATAAAAAGCAATAATAAAAGCTTTTAATAAAAAATAAAAATAATCTTAGTTTATAGAAAAATATTTTACCATTTATTTAAAGTAAAATTATTTTTACTAATAATTAAAATATGGGTAAAATTTCCTAAACCAGTAAATTATAATTATTATTTATTGGTAAGTACTTAAAATAGTAATTTTATATGAAAAGTGGTTAAACCACATTTAAACTACTTATTAGGTATTCTACTGTATTTTTTATGTTTAAAAAGTAATATGTGTGCCAAAAAATTCATTTTGAAAAATCAAACCTATTATCTGCAAAATTTTATCATATTTTTTACAGTGAATAATATTCACATTATGAACACAAACTATAGTTAGTAATTCTTTACATTTAATAAATTCAAATTTTTGTGGTAAGTTTTTAATAACTTGAATTTAGTATGAAAGTAAGTGGAAGAATGCTAAATAAAATTTTTGAATTAAATCTTTAGAAACCATAGAAATTTTACTGATAGAAAGAATCATTCATTATATATTTAAATAGGGTTAGTAAAAAAAGTTATAGCTAGATTACTATGATTGTACTAATTAATTAATTTTAGTAATTAAATTTATTACTTTATAAAATATAATTTTAAAATTCTATTTTGTTTAAAATAAATTTTTTAGTCTTTTAAATTATATCTTTTTTTAAAAAGCATCCATTTTTAATATTTAAACAAAATATTTTGTGAGAAAGGATTGTGTCTTGAGTTTATATTGCTAGACATTAATTTTTTATAGTACTAGCTATTAGAACTTAACTATTAGTACATAAATATTTATTAAAGTAAAAATAAATAAGTATAAATATAAAATAGCAATTTTATATTTTTAAAAATACATTTTTAAAACTTTACATAAAAAGCTAACATTTGATGCCTATTTGTATTTATAATTATTTTTATAATACAAGTGTGGCTTTAAATTAAAATATTTTATATTGAATATATTTTTTGTATTACTCTTTATATTACGATGATGCTAACTTACACTTTTCCTTCAAGCATATTAAAAATCAAATTACTTTTTACAAACCAAAATAGAATTTTATTGATTCTTCAATATTTAAAAGCATAAATATTTCAAAAATTTTTAATGTGTTTATTTTTGTACTTTTTAGTTGTTTTTCATTTAACATAATTGAAACATATGGTTTTTTAAAAAAATTTAAATAATTCACTCCTTATTTATCTATTTTTTGTTAATTTATTTATTTATTCATAAATTAAATATGATGGATTCATATACTTAATTAGACTTTATAATATTTTAAAGTTATATATTTATTATTTATAAATCTTTATTAATTTTTATCTAGGATAAGTAAAATATTTTTTTCCTATTACTTTAAAATTTCTATAACCAAGTAAGTGCGAACAGAATTATTCAATATTTAAATCATTAATTAAATGTACGTTCTTACTTCCTATTTTTAATTATAAAACCATTAACTTAATAGTACTAAAATCTAATCATATGAATTTTATTAATTTAAGATATTTTAGGAAAGCAGAATTAAAAAAATATAAGTTTTCAGAACCATTTAAATATACCTTATATAGTTGACCTCTTTTTAGTGGTTTAAATCACAGATCACAATAATTTAAATATAAACAATTAAAACAAAAAAATCAAAATAACTAAAAGTATGAATAAATTCGTTGCAGTTCTATTAATAGCTTGCTTTGCTTTTACTTAAGTCCAAGCTCATTTCTAAGGGCATAAATGTGCTCATAAAAGAATGAATCAAAAGTTAGACAAAGAAATTGTTGACTTGATTATCGATGAAAATGAAAGACATCTCTAAAATGCTAAACCTAGAAACTTCAAGATTACCTATGATATGGCTTATTTCGATAATTTACCTAATACTCCTGAAATGTAAATCTTTAGAAGAAACTGTGAAAAGGCTATCAAGATAGCTTCTAATTTCTTCAACAAACTTATCACCATCGTCCCTAAACCTAAAGGTTCTATGAAATGGGATCTCAGAAGAGATAAGTGTGGTGAAGCTACTATCCCTGCTGCTGATAAGACAACTGATAAGGATAGTGATCTCCATTTATACGTCACTTTCACTAATGAACCTTAAGAAACTTATCTTGCTTATGCTGGATGGTGCAAATTCGTTAGAATTATAGGTCCCACTCACGGTTAAGTAAACTTCAACTTGGGTATCTTATAAACCTAAAATTTTGCCAATTCTCATGTATTCTAAGGTTTAGTTGGGACTGTTATCCACGAAATAACTCACGTTCTTGGATTTTCTGATTCTGACTTTGCTAATTGGGTTGATGCTAATAAGAAACCTTATGTTAATCCTACTGTTGAGTAAACTGTTAGAGGCATGAAAACTAAATTCCTAAAAACACCAAATGTTCTTGAATTTGCAAAAAAATACTATGGATGCAACACTATTCCTGGTATGGCGCTTGAAAACTAAGGTGATGAAGGTTCAGCTGGTTCTCACTGGGAAACTACTATTATTCAAGATGAAATAATGAATGCATCAGATTCCCCAACCATTTCTATTTTCACTGGTTTTACTGCCGCTTTGCTAAGAGATACTGGTTTCTATGCTTCTGTTAACTCAAATATGGAGGAAAAATCTTTCTATGGTAAAGATGCTGGTTGTTCCTTCATTACCGGTTCTTGTGATGACAAAAAAAGAGAGTTCTGTACTGAAGGATCTTTCGAACAAAAATGTGACTATTATTATCATGGTGTTGGATAATGTAACTCCTCTTAAGATTTAGACGATGGTTGCAACACGATTTAAACTTTCAATAATGCTAAATGTTATGATGATTCAAACCACTTCTAGAATAATCCAACTTATAAAAGTGCTATGGGAGTTTCTCTTGGATCTAACTCTAAGTGCTTTAACAGCTCACTCATTAGTGAAAAATATAAGCCTATCAAGGAATAAGGTTTATGCTATACCTATACTTGCACTTCTGCCAATTAGGTAATTGTTAGCGTTGGAGGAACTAAAGTTACTTGCTCTAAGAATGGCTAATAATTGAAGGTTCCTGGTTACACTGGTTTACTTACTTGCCCTGAAAAGCTTGATTAATTCTGTGCTTTCAAGAAGTTATGTCCTAGTAATTGTAGTTCAAATGGTTTTTGCAACAATGGAACTTGTATTTGCATGAATGGTTTCAGAGGAGCTGCTTGTGACTAAGTTGCTTGAAACTATAAATTATATTAAAAATATTATAATATTAGATTTACATTAATATTGCATTAAATAATTATTTATATGGTTAATCAGTTAAAATATATGGTTTTAAATATTAATTAATGGATTTAAATAAATAAAAAATATAAAATAAGATTTTAAGCATATATCTCATTATATTAAATAAATTTAACGAATTATGTAAATTAATATACGGTATTACCTCTCAACCTTATCCCTCACTACGTGTACCTCAAATTTTTTTTTTGACTTTTAGAGAAGTTAATTTTATCAATTTATTTGGAAATTTAATAAATTCTTCTATTGATATCACTTACCTTAATATATATTTAATCAAGTTTAAATATTAAAGGTTTTTCAAATATTTTATAAAATCATTAAAATAAAAGTTCTTTCTTTTAGTGCCAAAAATTTTAAAATGTAAATTTTTGTTCTGGTTTTAATTATTTAAAATTTTGATCAGTTTCTGAGTGAGTTAATTGAATTATATGGCACTACATGTTTTTTATTTTAAGAAAATATAATAATTTTATAAAAATTAATTAAAAACTAGCTAAAATCCATAATTAATTAAAGACAAAGTTATATTGTAAAATATTTGATTTGAAATTTGCTAATTGAATGCTAAAATATTTTCTTATCATAATTTTTTTTATAAACTAGAAATATATTTTGAAATTATCTTAACTATTATTTAGCTAATATTTTGAATAGTTTTGAAATGTTACTAAAAACGTTTTTTTCAATATCTTTAATTTTATCCTCTTTAGTATGCTTATTGTTTTATAAAATTCATACAAGTTTTTCAAATTTTAGAAATTAAATTACATAAATAGAATGTAAATTTTATAGTTTGCTAAAAGTTTACATAGTAATTAATTTTTAATTATTTTCATAAAGTATATTTTTAGTATTTAATTATTCCACACTAATATGATCATTAAAGTTAAATTTAAAACATATGGTCAATTAGCAACTTTAAATTAAAATTCTTAAAAATAAATTATTTAAATGTATTTAATAAAATTTATATGAGCAAATCACAAACTATGTACATACATTGATCACTTTACAAGCTCCTTTTGTAAAAATTAACCATAGAACGAAAGTATTTTTAAATTTTAAATTTTTATTATAATGAATACTGGAAATAAAAACTTAAAATAAGGTAAAAATAAATATCTTAATAATGGAAAAAATATTTATTTGCTTCATAAAAATCATATTTTTTAGAATAAAAAAAATATTTTGTAAGAAAAAATTTAGTTTTTAGATTGAATTGATAATCTTTACTTTTATTTTTTTAATGAATTAATAGGAACTAGCCCTTTCTTAGAACTTAAATATTAATTTAAATTTTAAAAAGTATTGATATTCAAAATAGATTAATACTATTTTTTTAAAATACTTATCTTAAGCATAATTTGTTAAGCTATTAGCTAATTATAGGTTATCTTTAAATATATTTTAGTAGAAAAGCCGAATACTTGTTTAAATTTAAATATTTTATAGTGAATATATTTTTGGTATAACTAATAAATAAAGAGATTATACTAACTAAAACTTACACTCTAAAATTAGAAAAATCAAATTATTTTTCATAAATCAAAATAGAATTTTATTGACTCTAAAATATAAAGAATTCTAAATATTTCAAAGAAAATGGTTAGGAAAAAGAAAATAGTTTAAAAACAATTTATATAAATTATTTAAAGTTTTATATTTATTGTTAATAAAATAATTATTAAGTTTCATTATTTTGTAGAATAAATTAAAATATTTGAAAGTTGTTATTTTTAAAATTTCTATAAACAAGCAAAATCGAAACACAATCATTTTTTTTAATTATTCACCCAGTAATTGAATTAGTATTCTAACTTCATATCTTTTATTTTAAGCAAATTTACTGTCTAACTCTCAAGTTTAGTTATATGAATTTTAGTAAATTAATAATTTTGTGGAAACAGAGCTAACTAAATATAAAATCCAGAACCAATTTAAAAACATAATTTTATGTCTACACTTGTTTTAATGGCTTAAAACATAGATTGCAATAATTCAAATATAAAAAATAAAATCAAATATAAATTAAAATTACTAAAAGTATGAAAAAATTCATTGCAATTCTATTAATAGCTTGCTTTGCTTTTACTTAAGTCCAGGCTCATTCCGAAATACATAAATGTGCCCATGAAAGAATGAATGAAAAGTTAGACAAAGAAATAGTTGATTTAATTGTTGATGAAAATGAGAGACATCTCTAAAATGCTAGACCTAGAAACATCAAGATTACCTATGATATGGCTTATTTCAACACTTTACCTAACACTCCTGAAATGTAAATCTTCAGAAGAAGCTGTGAAAAGGCTATAAATATAGCTTCTAATTTCTTTAGCAATCTCATCACTATCATTCCTAAACCTAAAGGTTCTATGAAGTGGGATCTAAGACGTAATAATTGTGGATAAGCTATTATCCCTACTGCTGACAAGACTACAGATAAGGATAGTGATCTCCATTTGTATATTACTTTCACTAATGAACCTTAAGAAACCTATATTGCTTATGCTGGGTGGTGCAGATTTCTCAGAGTAATAGGTCCCACTCACGGTCAAGTTAACTTCAACTTGGGTATCCTAAATTCCTATAACTTTGCCAACTCTTTCTAATTCTAAGATTTAGTTGGAACTGTTATCCATGAAATAACTCACGTTCTCGGATTTTCTATATATGATATTCCAAGATGGGTTGATTCTAATAAGAAGCCTCATTTCAATCCTACAACTTAATATCTAATGAGAGGGATGAAAACAACTTTCTTAAAAACACCTCATGTTCTTGAATTTGCTAAAAAATACTATGGATGCGACACTATCCCTGGTATGCCTCTTGAAAACTAAGGTGGTGATGGTTCAGCTGGTTATCACTGGGAAACTACTATTATTCAAGATGAAATAATGAATGCTTCCAGTTCCCTAACCATTCCTATTTTCACTGGTTTTACAGCCGCTTTGTTAAGAGATACTGGTTTTTATGTTTCGGTCAACTCAAATATGGAAGAAAAATCATTTTATGGAAAAAATGCTGGTTGCTCTTTCATTTATGGCTAATGTGATGACAGTAATAGGGAATTCTGTACTGTCGGATCTTTCGAAAAAAAATGTGACTACTATTATCATGGTACTGGATAATGTAATTTCTCTTAATTCTTAGACAATTAATGCAACACTTATCGAACATTTAGTAACGCTAAATGTTATGATTAATCAAACAACTTTTAGAATAATCCAAATTATAAACGTATTTTTGGAGTTTCTTTTGGATTAAACTCTAAGTGCTTTAACAGCTCACTTATTGATGAAAGATATAGACCTATCAACGAATAAGGTTTATGCTATACCTATACTTGTACTTCTGCCAACTAGGTAATTGTTAGTGTTGGAGGAACTAAAGTTACCTGCTCTAAGAATGGCCAATAATTGAAGGTTCCAGGTTACATTGGTTACCTTACTTGCCCTGAAAAACTAGATGAATTCTGTGCTTACAAGAAACTATGTCCAAACAATTGTAATTCAAATGGTTATTGCAACAATGGAACTTGTATTTGCATGAAAGGCTTCAGAGGAGTTGAGTGCGAATAAGTTGCTTGAAAATCATAAATTACATTAAAAATTTATATTATTAAGATTTATTTTTATATTATATATTAATTCAGCAAATTAAAATATTTAACATATAATTATATTATTCTTCATTACATTTATTAAAACCAAAAATAAAATTTTAAATAAATAGATAATTTTTTTTAAACCTATGAATTTTTTTTAAAAAAAAATATAAATTTTTTCATCTTCTATAGTAGATAAATATTATAAATAAATACTAAAAAAAACAATTTATTTTTATAAATTGTTTATAAATATAACCCCTCTATTTGAAAAATAGATTGTTTTTTTGTGTCTATTATAATTAACTTGAATTTTCATTACTTTCTGAATGAGTTAATAGAATTATTAGTTTTAAGAAAATAAATATGTAATTATCTAAATTAATTGATATTAACTATAAAAAAAATGATATAATGACTTATAAAAATTATTACTTTTGTATTGAAGCTAATTGTTTATTCTAATATTTAAACTTCATCCTTGAATTTAAAAATTTCTTGCTATAATAAATTAAATATGGTATTAAAATAAAATATATAAATAGTTAAATTTATTTTAAAATACTTATTAATCATTTCTCTATAATTCTAATTTTCACATGCAAATTGTTTTCAGGTTTATTAATGATTTATTAGTAATTAAAAATATAAATTAAAAGCACTTTTATGGTAACAGGAAAATACCATAAGCTTAAAACTATTAATTGATTAGTAATTTGATTATTTGTTTATAGAAAATATAAATATAAATTATTACTTTTGTATTGAAGCTAATTGTTTATTCTAATATTTAAACTTCATCCTTGAATTTAAAAATTTCTTACTATAATAAATTAAATATGGTATTAAAATAAAATATATAAATAGTTAAATTTATTTTAAAATACTTATTAATCATTTCTCTATAATTCTAATTTTCACATGCAAATTGTTTTCAGGTTTATTAATGATTTATTCGTAATTAAAAATATAAATTAAAAGCACTTTTATGGTAACAGGAAAATACCATAAGCTTAAAACTATTAAATTGATTGGTAATTTAATTATTTGTTTATAGAAAATTCAATAATATAAAATTTAACAAAAAGCGAGCTAATTTACCATCAATTAATGAAATAATTAGATTAACAATAATTTGATTGGATATTTGTTATTTGGATACTTATATATCGATTTCACCATCATTTTTTTAATAAATTAAAAATACATGAATAAAGTTAACTTTGACTTATCTTAGATATTAGATTTTTTTCCCATATTTACTAAATGCCTTTTTTAATGCATTTTTAAATCAGTTTTTTCGATATATATTATTTATTATATTATAAAATTCATACAAACATTTCAAATTTCAAAAACTGATACTTAATTAGAATACAAAAGTATAGTTTCTAGAAAGATTCTATGATGATCGATTTTTTAATATAACCATAGAGTATTTAATTAATTTTCGTACTTAATTAGCTCAAATTAATATGGCCAGTAATTTATTATATAATTACACTTTAATTAATTACTCTAAAACCTTGGTCAATATCCCCACTGGGATGGTGATAGTTATTTTTTGTCTAAATTTTAATAAATGATTCTGGATATTGATTGTAAATTTTTAAAACCTGGGATATTTACTAAGGTTTTAGAGTAATACATTTTTAATTTTGTGATTTTAACTTGATTAAGAAAACAATCAATCAAATATCACAAACTATTGAATATAAAATTTTTACCATAAAATCTTTAAGATGTAAATTCTTGAATTTGATGAATTTAAATCTATTTAATTATTTAAATATAAGGATTTTAAAACCTATTTTAATTCATCATATTACTATTGCTTATCTTGTAAAAATTTACTTTAGAAGGAAATCTATTTAAAAATTATAAATTCTACTTTTTCTAAAACAGATAGTGCTATTAAATAGGGTTGAATAACTTTAATAGGAATAGAATTAAATAAAAAACATTCATTCTCTAAAAAGTTTGAAAAAAGGTGTAATTTTAATTTTATAAGAAGTCATATCTATGAAATTCATATAAAAAAAGATTAATAATTAAATATTTTGAATAGATAAAATATTCAGAGTGTTTTCACAGTTAAATAATAATTAGAAAATATATATTTTAAGTTGTAAAAATATAAGGAATATCATGAAACCATTTTATAAAATTTAACTTACTCTGTGTATTGTTTTAATATAAATTATGCAATTAACAATATTGATAATTTAAACACTATTTGTAGCCAATTATTTTATTTATTAAACTAATTAACAATTTTGTGGTAATTTCTAAAAATTTTAATTGGAATTGAATTCTAAATAAAATTTTAGGCAAGGTTAGAAATCATCAAAAAATTTATGGTTAAAATATTGTATTTTTTAAATAACATAATTAATAATGGTTATAGTATAATTACTTTAATATCACTAATTAGTTAATGTAAGAATTTTAAGAAACCATTAATGTATTCCTAAAGCTCTTTTTTGTTTCAAATAGATTTTTATAATGATTTAAATGTTCATACATTTTTCCTTATAAAAACAGCTTTTTTACTTTTCTCGAAAAAATATTTTATGAGAAAATATATAATCTTTAGATCGAATTGATATCATTAATTTTTGAAAAGATTTAGCTCTTGTAAATATTTATTAATAAAAAGCATAGATAGTCAAAATAGATTTTTATTGGTTTTTAAAATACATATGTTATACACATCTTTATGATAAGAAAAAGCATAAGTTTTAAAATTATTTTAGATGAATTATTGAACAATTTATTATGGAGCTGTAGAAACTTTTTAAAATATAGATAATATGATTTTAGTTAAACTAATTTCATTCATTATTTATCTATTTTCATTTATAATTTTTTATTTAGATAAATTTATCTGCAAAACAGTAAGACCAGTAATTAAATTTAAATTCTTACTTTATATTTTTAACCAGTATAAACTAATTTACTCTCTAGTACTAAAATATAGTCATATATGTATTTTATTGAATAAAAAATTTTGGGGTAGGAAGAATTAATCAAATATAAATTTCCAGAACCATTTAAAAACATAATTTTATGTTTGCACATGTTTTGATGGTTTAAATCATAGATTGCAATAGTTTAAATATAAACAATTAAATAAATAAAATAAAAATCTAAATAACTAAAAAAATATGAAGAAATTAATTGCAGTTCTATTAATAGCTTGCTTTGCTTTTACTTAAGTCCAAGCTCATTCCCATGGACATAGGTGTGCTCATGAAAAAATGAACGAAAAGTTAGACAAAGAAATTGTTGACTTGATTATTGATGAAAATGAAAGACATCTCTAAAATGTTAAGCCTAGAAACTTCAAGATTACCTATGATATGGCTTATTTCGATAATTTACCTAATACTCCTGAAATGTAAATTTTCAGAAGAAGCTGTGAAAAGGCTATCAAGATAGCTTCTAATTTCTTCAGCAATCTCATCACCATCGTTCCTAAACCTAAAGATTCTATGAAGTGGGATCTTAGACTTAACAAGTGTGGTGAAGCTACTATCCCTGTTACTGATAAGACTACTGATAAGGATAGTGATCTCCATTTATATATCACTTTCACTGATGAACCTTAATAAACTTATCTTGCTTATGCTGGATGGTGCAGATTCCTCAAAATTGTAGGTCCCACTCACGGTTAAGTTAACTTCAACTTGGGTCTCTTAAAATCCTACAACTTTGCCAACTCTCTCTAATTCTAAGATTTGGTTGGAATCGTTATCCATGAAATGACTCACGTTCTCGGATTTTCAGGATCAGATATTTCTAACTGGGTTGATGCTAATAAGAAAGCTCATGTTAATCCTACTGTTCAACAAACTGTTAGAGGTATGACAACTACTTTTGTTAAAACACCCAATGTTCTTGAATTTGCTAAAAAGTACTATGGATGCAACACTATTCCTGGTATGCCTCTTGAAAACTAAGGTGGTTCAGGATCATCTGGTTCTCACTGGGAAACTACTATTATTCAAGATGAATTGATGAATGCTTCCATTTCCCTAACCATTCCTATTTTCACTGGTTTTACTGCTGCCTTGTTAAGAGATACTGGTTTCTATGCTTCAGTTAACTCAAATATGGAAGAAAAATCTTTCTTTGGTAAAGATGCTGGCTGCTCATTCATTACTGGCTCTTGTGATGACAAAAAAAGAGAATTCTGTACTGTCGGATCTTTCGAACAAAAGTGTGATTATTATTATCATGGTGTTGGACAATGCAACTCTTCTACGTTCTTAGATAACAATTGCGACACTTATCAAACTTTTAGTAATGCTAAATGTTTTGATGATTCAAACAACTTCTAGAATAATCCAACTTATAAAAGTGCTATGGGATCTTCTCTTGGATCTAACTCTAAGTGCTTTAACAGCTCTCTTATTAGTGAAAAATATTAACCTATCAAGGAATAAGGTTTATGTTATACCTATAGTTGTACTGCTGCAAACTAGGTTATTGTTAGTGTTGGAGGAACTCAAGTTACCTGCTCTAAGAATGGTCAATAATTGAAGGTTCCAGGTTACAGTGGTTTACTCACTTGCCCTGAAAAGCTTGATGAATTCTGTGCTTTCAAGAAGTTATGCCCTAGCAGTTGTAGTTCAAATGGTTTTTGCAACAATGGAACTTGTATTTGCATGAATGGTTTCAGAGGAGCTGCTTGCGACTAAGTTGCTTGAAATTATAAATTATATTAAAAATATAAAGCTTTATAAAATTTAAATTAGTATAATTTATATAATTGTATATTAAGTCAATCAATTATAATGTTTAATATGCAATAAATAATTTTTTTCATTTCCCTTAGATAAATAAGAAATAAAATTTTTATGAAATTAGTTTAATTTATAAGTAGGTTGATAAATATATTAAATTATAAAAAATTATTATTTTATATAACTAAATATTTTTTGTTATGAAAAAAATATCATATAACTAAAATATTGATATTTTTATATTTGAAAGAAGTTTTAACAAAATATATAAAATTAAGGTAAATTATTTTCATGTATTTTAAGGTATTATGTATTTATTAAAAACATTTTTTATAAATATGTCTTAAATTTATTTATTTTTTAATATTTCTAAAAGGTTTTAATATTAAGAATTGGTCTAGACGACAAAGAGATCAAATTAAATAAAACTAAAACACCAGTTTTAATAAAAGTTAAGCTATAAAACTTAAAGAAGTTAATTAATAGGTAAACTGATACTTTAGTTAAGCTTAGCAAAAAATAAAGCTCTATAACAAAGATTTATTAAAAATTATTTATAGAACTTTAAAGAATTTTTCTTTAATTTGTTTAGTTTTTCTGAAAAAAGGTCAAAAAGAAAATAATAGAGATTCTATATAACTTAAAAATTCAAAATCTGATTGCAGGTATATTATTAAGTTGGTAATTATTAAAAATCTGTTAAAAATCTAATAAAAAATTTGTGAAACATAGTCCTCCAAGTAAAAGACTTGTAAGGATAAAAATGATAGTTATAGCTTGATTTTAACCCTATTAAGCCTTAAATTCTTCTAATTGTAAATTTTCTTATATATTATGAAAATTAATTTCAATTAATTCATTCATTACTTTATAATTAGCCATCAAGACAATCTATAATTTTTAAAGGGTGGTAGTAGTAGAGATATTGAGAAGTTTAAAATTTATTAATTTTTTGTCTATTAAAATTTTCTAAAGTTTTGTTTGTTCCTAGTAGAGTTAATTAAATTTATAAGACAAAAAGTTTTTTATATTAAGGAAATAAATGATACTATTTTCTAAGCTAAGTTTAATATATAAAGTACTAGCTCTTGAAAATAGTCAAATAATAATTTTTAAAATTTATTGATTATTGTTTTTAATTGAATTGGATTGCTTATTTGAATAGCTAGGTTTGTTTGATTCCCTAAATTAAAATCATCTTAATTATTTGCTAGTTTATTTGATAAACTAAAAAAAGTTAATTATTAGATTTAAGACAAAGCAAATAAAAAATTAAATTTATTTTAAAATTATTAATTTTATCCCTAATATTATAATTTTTAGAATTAAATAATTTATACAATCAATCTTTAATTTTTTATGATCAACTCGTGTTTAAAAATATTAATAAAAAGTAATTTTTATATAAGAAAGTAAATACTATAAGTTTAAAAATTTTTACTGACTCTAATCTCTTTATTGCTTTATACATTAAATTTAGTTAAATAAAAATTAACTAAAAATTAGATTGTAAAATATTTAATTATATATTTGTTAATTTAGCACTAAAATCTTTGTTTCATCATCATTTTTTATTAGCTAATTAATATGTGTATACAAGTTTACTATACTATTTCAAGTCTTTTTTTAATTGTTGTTTTCATAGCCTTTTTTCTAATCTCTTTGATATATTTTTTTAATTGTCTATTATTTTATAAAATTCATACAAACTTTTCAAATTTTAAAAATTAAGTAACATTAATAAAATGTATATTTTTATGTTTTTCAGAAAGCTTCTATGAAGATTAATTAATGATTATGCCATATAGTTTTTTTCTCTACTTAATTAGATGAAATTTATCTGACCATTAATTTATTAAGTTAGTATGCTTTATTTAATTTCTAAAAAATATTTATACAACTATAAATGTAAAAGTTTGAATATAATAAATTTAAATACTGCTAATCCAGATATTTCATTTAAAATAGTAAATTTTCAATGAAAAGAGGTTAAACTACATTAAATCACTTATGGGTATTCTACGGTAATTTTATGTATTAAAAGAAATATGTATGTCAAAAAATTCATTTTTAAAAATAAAACTTATTTTGTGCAATATTCAATTATAATTTATACAGAATAATAATGAACACAGTATAATGGTATAATATTCTTTTTATTTTATTAATTAAAATTTTTATAGTCAATTTTGAATAACTTAGGTTTAGAATAGAAGTAAGCATATGTCTAAATTACATTTTTGAATTAGATCTGTAGACACCATTGCATTTTTATTTGTAGAAAGAAACATTATATTTTTAAATAAGATAAGTAACAAAGGTTATAGCTAGATTATTTTAGTTGTACTAGTTAATTAATTTTATGAATTTAATTTATTACTTAATACAAATAATTTTAAAACTCTTTTTTGTTTAAAAAATATTATTAAGAGTCTTTTAAATATATTTATTTCTTTTAAAGACATCCATTTTTTTTATATTTAAAAAATATTTTGTGATCTTGATATTATTTGATAGAGATTAATTATTTATAGTTCCAGCTATTAGAACTTAGCTCTTAGTACTTAACTATTTATTAAAGTAAAATAAGTAGAAATATAAAAAAACAATTTTACATTTTTAAAAATAATTATTTATGATATTACATAAAAAGCTAACATTTGATTCTTGATTGTCTTTATAATAATTTTCGTAGAAAATATAATCGTGGCTTTAATTAAAATATTTTATGGTGAATATATTTTTGGTGTTACTATATATAATATGATGACGCTAACTAACACATTTACTTCAAGCATATTAAAAATCAAATTACTTTTTACAAACCAAATTAGAATTTAATTGATTCTTCAATATTCAGAAACATAAGTTTTTTAAAAATGTTTGAAAAATGAATGCACTTTAAATTTATTTTAAATGAATTTTTGAAGTCTTTATTTTCACACTTTAGTTGCTTTTGTATTGGAATAATATAAATACATCTTTTTTTATAAAAATTTAAATATTTCACTCGTTATTTATCTACTTATAGTTATTATATTTACTTATTCAATTATCAAATCTGATAGATTTATATGCTATATTAGGCTTAATAAGATTTTAAAGTTATACATTTATTATTTATAAACCTTTATTAATTTTCATCTAGGACAAAGTAAAATATTTTAAGATTATTACTTTAAACTTTCAATAAGCAAGAAAAATGCGAACTCAATTATTTAGTATTTAAATTATTGATTAATGTACATTCTTACTTCGTATTTTTAATTGTAAGCTCATTAACTCAATAGTACTAAAATCTAATAATATGAATTTTATAATATAACACATTTTTGGAAAGCAGAATTAAATAAATTTTAATTTTCAGAACCATTTAAATAATTAGTATATTTGAACTTATTTTAGTGGTTTAAATCACAGATCAAAAAAAAAAAAATCAAAATAACTAAAATTATGAATAAATTCGTTGCAGTTCTATTAATAGCTTGCTTTGCTTTTACTTAAGTCCAAGCTCATTTATTAGGGCATAAATGTGCTCATAAAAGAATGAATGAAAAGTTAGACAAAGAAATTGTTGACTTGATTATTGATGAAAATGAAAGACATCTCGAAAATGCTAAACCTAGAAACTTCAAGATTACCTATGATATGGCTTAATTCAATAATTTACCTAATACTCCTAATTTATTGAATTTTTCTTCTAAAATCTTATTAATATCCCCCCTGGGATATTGATTAAGTGTTTAGAGTAATTAAGTTTATAACACAAAAATATTTTTATTTTAAGAAAAATAATGCTAAATTAATTTTAATATATTATAATTGATTATTGTTTTTTATTGAATTGGACTGCTAATTAGAATAACTAAATTCGATTCCCTAAAATAAAATAATATTAAGTATTTACTGCTTTATTTGATAACTAAAAAAAATTAATTAAAAGAGAAAGACAAAGCAAATAAAAAATTAAATTTATTTTAAAATTATTAATTTTATCCCGAAAATTAATAGTTTTAAGAATTAAATAATTTATACAATCTTTAATTATTTATGATTAACTAGTGCTTAAAAATATTAATAAAAAGTTATTTTTATCTATGCAAGAAAATGCCATACGTTTAAAAATATTTATTGAAGGTAATACCTTTATTGCTTAGACAGAAAATTTATTTAAAAAAAATAAACTAAAAATTAGATTGTAAAATATTTAATTTTGTATTTGTGAATTTATTTAACACTTAAATTTTTGTTTCATCATCACTTTTTATTAGCTAATTAATATTTATGTACAATTATGCTATAATATTTCATGGCTAGTATTTTTAATTGTTCTTTTCATATCACTAAAAGCCTTTTTTCTAATCTCTTTTTTACATTTGTTTAATGTGTCTATTATTTTATAAAATTCATACAAACATTTCAAATTTTAAAAATTGAGTTACATTAATAAAATGTAAATCTTTATGTTTTTCAGCAAGTTCTACGAAGATTAATTATTGATTATTCCCATACAATATATTTTTTCTTACTTAATTAGATTAAATTAATATGATCACTAATTTAATATGTTAGTATACTTTATTTAATTTATACAATTTTAATATTGTAACATAAATTTAAAATAAATATATATATTTTACCACACACTATCAACTATAAAATTTTAACCATAAAGTATTTGTGCAAATATAAATAATGTAAATTTTTGAATATAAGAAATTAAAATACTGCTAATCCAGAAATTCATAGCATTTATTAAAATTGTAAAATTTTAATGAAAAGCTGTTAAAACACATTAAATTACTTATCGGGTATTCTACGGTATTTTTTATGTATTAAAAGTAACATGTATGTCAAAAAATTCATTTTAAAAATCAAACCTATTTTGTGCAATATTCAATAAGAATTTATTCAGAGTAATAATGAACACAGTATAATGGTTTAATATTCTTTTTATTTTATTAATTTAAATTTTTGTAGTAAATTTTTAATAACTTAGAATTAGGATAGAAGAAAGCTTATGAATTCTAAGTAAAATTTTTGAATTAGATCTTTAGAAACCATTGAATTTTTATTTGTAGAAAGAAACATTATATTTTTAAATAAGATAAGTAACAAAGGTTATAGCTAGATTATTTTGGTTGTACTAGTTAGTAAATTTTAGGAATTTAATTTATTACTTAATAAAATATAATTTTAAAAACTCTTTTTTATTTAAAATATTTTTTATAGTCTTTTAAATAAATATCTTTCTTTTTAAAAGCATCCATTTTTAATATATTTAAAAAAAATATTTTGTAATCTTGAGATTATTTGATAGATATTAATTTTTTATAATTCCATCAATATAAAAAACAATTTTACATTTTTAAAATACATATTTAAAATATTACTTTAAAAACTAATATTTGATGCTTGCTTGATTTTACAATTATTTTCGTGAAAATACAATTGTGGCTTTAAATTAAATTATTTTATAGTGAATATATTTTTAGTGTTACAATATATATTACAATGACGCTAACTAACACATTTACTTCAATAGTATTAAAAATAAAATTACTTTTTACAAACCAAAATAGAATTTTATCGATTCTTCAATACTCAGAAATATATTTCAAAAATGTTCGTAAAAAAATCAACTTTAAATTTATTTTAAATGAATTTTTTGAAGTGTTTAGTTTCTCACTTTAGTTGCTTTTCATTTGGCATAATATAAATATAAGTTTTTTATAAAAAAATGTAAATATTTCAATAGTTATTTATCTATTTATAGTTATTATATTTATTTATTCAGTTATCAAATCTAATAGATTTATATGCTAAATTAGACTAAATAAGATTTTAAAGTTATATATGTATTATTTATAAATCTTTATTAATTTTCATCAAGGACAAGTAAAATATTTTAAGGTTATTACTTTAAATTTTCTATAAGTAAGTTAAATGCGAATTCGATTATTTAGTATTTAAATTATTGATTAAGTGTATTCTTACTCCGTATTTTTAATTGAAAACCCATTAGCTCAATAGTACTAAATAAAATCTAATCATATGAATTTTGTTATATAACATATTTTTGGAAAGCAGAATTAAACAAATTTTAATTTTCAGAACCATTTAAACAAATTTATATATTTGAGCTTATTTTAGTGGTTTAAATCACAGATCACAATAACTTAAATATAAACAATTAAAACAAAAAAAATCAAAATAACTAAAATTATGAATAAATTCGCTGCAGTTCTATTAATAGCTTGCTTTGCTTTTACTTAAGTCTAAGCACATTTCTAAGGGCATAAATGTGCTCATAAAAGAATGAACGAAAAGTTAGATAAAGAAATTGTTGACTTGACCATCGATGAAAATGAAAGACACCTCTCAAATACTAAGCCTAGAAATTTCAAGATTACCTATGATATGGCATATTTCAATAATTTACCTAATACTCCTGAAATGTAAATTTTTAGAACAAACTGTGAAAAGGCTATCAAGATAGCTTCTAATTTCTTCAGCAATCTCATCACCATCGTTCCTAAACCTAAAGATTCTATGAAGTGGAATCTCAGACTAAATAGTTGTGGCGAAGCTACTATCCCAGCTGCTGATAAGACTACCGATAAGGATAGTGATCTCCATTTATATATCACTTTCACTGATGAACCTTAAGAAAGTTATCTTGCTTACGCTGGATGGTGCAGATTCCTTAGAATTTTAGGTCCCACTCATGGTTAAGTTAACTTCAACTTAGGTCTCTTAAAATCCTACAACTTTGCCAGCTCTCTCTAATTCAAAGATTTAGTTGGAATCGTTATCCATGAAATGACTCACGTTCTCGGATTTTCTGATTCTGACTTTGCTAACTGGGTTGATGCTAATAAGAAACATCATGTTAATCCTACTGTTGAGTAAACTGTTAGAGGTATTAATACTACTTTCCTAAAAACACCAAATGTTCTTGAGTTTGCAAAAAAATACTATGGGTGTAGCACTATACCAGGTATGGCTCTTGAAAACTAAGGTGGTGAAGGTTCAGCTGGTTCTCATTGGGAAACTACTATTATTCAAGATGAATTGATGAATGCTTCCATTTCCCTAACCATTCCTATTTTCACTGGTTTTACAGCTGCCTTGTTAAGAGATACTGGTTTCTATGCTTCTGTTAATTCAAAAATGGAGGAAAAATCTTTCTATGGTAAAGATGCTGGCTGCTCATTCATAACTGGCTCTTGTGATGACAAAAAAAGAGAATTCTGTACTGTAGGATCTTTCGAATAAAAATGTGATTATTACTATCATGGTGTAGGATATTGTACCTCATCTACATTCTTAGATAGTAATTGCGACACTTATCAAACTTTTAGTAATGCTAAATGTTTTGATGATTCAAACAACTTCTAAAATAATCCAACTTATAAAAGTGCTATGGGAGTTTCTCTTGGATCTAACTCTAAGTGCTTTAACAGCTCACTCATTAGTGAATAATATCTACCTATTGAGGAATAAGGTTTATGCTATACCTATACTTGTACTGCTGCCAATTAGGTAATTGTTAGTGTTGGAGGAACTAAAGTTACCTGCTCTTAGAATGGTTAATAATTGAATGTTCCTGGTTACAGTGGTTTACTCACTTGCCCTGAAAAGCTTGATGAATTTTGTGCTTACAAGAAGTTATGTCCTAGTAATTGTAATTCAAATGGTTTTTGTAACAATGGAACTTGCATTTGCATGAAAGGTTTCAGAGGAGCTGCTTGCGACTAAGTTGCTTGAAACTATAAATTATATTAAAAATATTATACTATTAAGATTTAAATTAATATTGAGTTATATAATTAAGTCAATCAATTAAAAAATAATTGTTCGTAGATATTAATTAATGAATTAAATAAATAAAAATATTATTTTAGATATTAAAGATATATTTAAATAATATAATAGGAAAAGTGAGTTCTAGCCAGAATTTTTAAGAAACAATTTTATTATTTTTTTTAAGATTAGCTTAAAATCATAAAAATTAAATAACAAATCACCATCTGTACCTACACAGTTCGTGATATTTTAATTACAGGATTAGCTATAATTTATATAATTTTTAATTTTTTATGATTAACTAGCACTTAAAAATATTAATAAAATAATTTTATCTAATCAAGAATATGCCATAAGTTTAAAAATATTTATTGATGTCTTTATTTAGAGTAAATTTAGTTAAATAAAAATTAACTAAAATTTATATCTAATTAATATATGTATACAATTATACTTTTATATTTCATGAGAAGTAATTTTAATTGTTTTTGCATATCACTAAAAGCCTTTTTTTCTAATCTCTTTTATATATTTTTTTAATGTGTCTATTATTTTATAAAATTCATACAAACTTTTCAAATTTTAAAAATTGAGTTACAATAATAAAATATAAATTTTATAGTTTTTCAGAAAGCTTCTATGAAGTTTAATGATTGATTATGCCCATAGAGTATTTTTTCTTACTTAATTTGATCAAATTAATCTGATAATTAATTTATTATGCTAGTATTCTTTATTTATTTATACAATTTTACTATTGCAACTTTAATTTGAAATAAATTAATTAATTAATTATAACACACACTATCAACTATAAAATTTTAACCATAACGTATTTGTGCAACTATAAATGTAAATTTTTGAATATAAGAAATTTAAATTTATATGTAAAAATCGCAAAATAAATATACATACTTATCATTTTA